TAGAATAGGAAAAGCAGCGACATTTTGAACATTTTGAGAAGTGCAAAGAGCAATAATACATTAGGATCATATGTTGTAAAGCACTCTGTGGCATTACCTGTTATTCAGATGTCTCTTGCGCTTGTTTTAATCGACGTGTCTTTATTTCGTTAGCATAACACAATACACGAGATAGTACAACTTTTTATGAGTATTAGAGTTATATTACCGCATATATTTCAATCCCGTGTAAATCCGTATCAAGACATTTTAATTGTTTGAAGGGTGTGAGGCAATTATTCATCGAATGATTACGTTTCGTAGATAAATTGTATATATATCTGAATGTATGACGCAAACGTAGGTCGTGGGATACTTCATCTAGAAAACAGGAAACGACGGCTATACATGAAAATCATCCCAAATTATCAATGTGACATGTTATGTACATTTCCATAGTATGTACATGTAATTGCAGGTTTATTATAAACGCATTACACACGCTGGACAAGGATCGCTCGAATGGAATCTTGTATAGGTTTATATATAATCTGTAAATCGTAAAGCATAGCTTTGTGTTATACTTAATTTTTTACGTATATTTTGTAGTCGTGAGAAATGTCTGTTTTGAAAGATTCTTTGTAAAAAATCTAATGTGACGTTAAGTTTCGGGCTACATTATTCACAAATTAAAATAAACATATATCATTTGTTTTTTCTTCGCCACATCTATAAGCATATGATTAAAAGTCATTTTTGCGTTATTAAACTTTATGTCACATTTACATACAATTTGTATATTATGATCTTAGTAGAACAACTAATAATGAAAAAACTTTGAAAATGGACATTTATTTGCATTAATAATCTGTACACATAATAAATAGTGATACTTGGAAATACGCATACTTTCTGTATTTATAACAGTGTTATAAAGTAAAACAGAAATTTTCAGCTATAATGACTCTCTTTCATCGTTTTTAACCCTTTTCACTCAATAATACTATAATATAAAATTCGATCATTGTGCAATTATTTAACGTCTATTGTATTTCTCACAGTTTCATTAATAAAAAAAACATTAACGTTCATTAAAATTATATTTAATAAAATTTTCATTAATTATCTCTTTACTAATTTTTTATCATTAATGATAACACGAAGAGTGTAAAGGGTTAAACTGTGAAAACATTGAACGTACAGTCTCGTGTAAACAAAGCAAATATGTGTTGGATATTACATCCCATGTTTAATGATGCTTTATTCAATTAAAAATTTTTCAGTCCAGCAAATAAATGTGAAAATGAGAGAGAATGTCAGTTGTCACTATGTGTGGACTACTGTACATACACATATATTCTCGAATAATTTCTACATATTGTTTAAGAATAATACCAGTCGACCCACCAGAAATAGTACAACTGGATAATATTTTTAGATTTGAAGATGCAGGTTTTACAGACGTCGTTTTGAGATGTTGACATAATTAGAAATTATAAATAGTCGAGATATAGTTTAGTGATACAACAGTTGTCTGTGAGATAAAAACGATGATTCCAATCGTGTTATCCCGTAAAGAATTTTGAGCGGTAGGATATTATAGAAACAAATATCCCACAGTAATACTAGACAATAAGTCGTGATTTCATGCTTCTCGGAAGACAAAAAATCCCCAAAAAAAGTTTAAATATTCTATAAATATTGTAGATATCTTCATATCTAGAAGAGTTATTCAAGCGTCCTGTTCCTGGTAAACTGTACGCGTACAACACTACCCTAAGATCTCGAGAGGACTCCTTTAAGTCCTATTAGGTTTTAAGGAAGTTACACTTTATTTGTTATCTGCACATACTTGCCATCTAAATGCACCTCCTAGTAGAGTCCCGACCGAAACTTTTGCCGAAACTGAACCGAAACACTCGATTATATGTCAATTTTCAACCGAAACCAAAATTAAAAAATAGAAATTCTATAAAGGCTATATGTATAGATATATAATATATCCATATATCATATACTTTTTCTTCATAAATATCATAATTTATTGAAACAATAATTAAATTTCGGCCGAAATCGAAAACCGAAATTTCGGTTGTGTGTCAATTTTGGCCAAAGAATATAATTACTTCTTCTTTATAAACATCATAATTTAATTATTGAAACAATAATTATACATTAAAATTAATATTTATGAAGAAAAGCTATATCGTTTCAGTCGAAACTGACACGTAATGAGTGTTTCGTTTTCAGTTTCGGTAAAAGTAATTCGGTCGGACTCTACCTCCTAGTTACCTCATCGCCGGTGAATGAATATGACGATAATTTTCCTCAGCAGCTTGTCACGCGTTACTTTCACGATTACCCTTCGAATCGAGAAACTCCTCGATGCGGAAGGCGATCATGCGATACGACACGCGACGCACTGGCGCACTTCGAGAATCAAAGCTAGATAATTTGTACTTACTCTTTACAGGATCTTTTCGTACCTTGCGTGCACTTGCGAATAAATACGCGCGTCGCTATTTCTCGATGAAGTATTTCCTCAGGACAGAAGTACCATACGCTTGTTAATACGCGCCTTGGCACATATACAAACCAATCTCGTGACAGGCATTCCACAAGTGCTACTAATATTGCATGGTTTGTTGTAATAATTAATGTAAGGACTTGTGCTTCTTCCATCGTTTCTTTGGGATGGTAACACCGTTAGCAACACCTAAAACATAATTTCGTCTTGTCTACCTATTTTTTTCGTGTATCGAAACCATCGGAACATCAAAGATTTAATCACAATATTAAGGGCGACAAGACACTTAATATCGGTTACGTTTCTGAATGTTGCTTTCGGCGTTCTCTTACATTGATGTGGATGTGTGCGTTTTTTTCTTTTTGTACCGTTAGAATATCGAATATATAAGACTGCTACACCGCTTGGAAAAACATACGCGATATTACATATCTCATCCCAGTTACATTCTTCGCAACTTTTCCCGTTTTACTTTTATACCGTTCCGAGTTTTTTCTTTAAATTTTACGCAACTGATATAATGTTCCATTGAAAGATACGCGTGTCAGCTTCTTTAAATTATATCTATTGGATCTCAAACATTTTTATTCCTAAACTGGGGTACACTTCGTTAGCTAGCTGTCGGTTCGTGTATGTTTTCTGGCGGTATATCCGAGTATTAAGTAGTCCAGCAGTGTTATATAGGAATCTGTGCGTTTCAACGACTGAAAACTATATAAGATATCTCAGGTAGTTACGCGAGCTCGAAGAATGCCTTTACTGCGCTAAGTGATTGGATTTGATTCGGCTCTTTAAGTTAAGTTTATTCGCAATTCGGCATTATGATAGCAGATGCAGTGTAGGTTTTCGTTTACGATTCACATCCCGGTAAAGCGTAGGCATGACTTGACGAAAACATTGTGTAATCGCATAAAATCAGATTCATACAAATATAATCTATAATGTAACTGTGTAGTAAAATTGACCAGTCATGTTTAAGATAAGTTTTTCTCGAACTGATGGTTTCCTTCGTTATACCTGTGGGACTACTCGTTCGCGATAATTCTTCAAGGAATGTTTCGGCAATACATTTCTGCAGTTTTTAGCAGATAACATTTTGAATATATATCTAAATAATTTTAATATAAAAATGACAGCTAATTTATAGATTTTATTTTGCAGATTATCGAAGCTTCGAAATCCAAAACATACGATTTATATAAAAGTATGTCGCTTCTGCCATGCACGTAAGAATAAAAAAAATTCTACGCTAATGGAAGAGAATTTGACGCATCATTTAAAATTGTAGTACTTACAGATAACAGGATTACAGTAAAGCAGAGACATCGTTTTTAACATGACATTACTAGTATGTTATATTCATTGTAAATACGACAATATTTTTGCAGCAAATGCCTTTTTTACCGTTTATAAGAAAATTTTTTTTGCTGCGCACACAATTCTAGACGTCGTTTGTTGGATGCAAACAAGTTCAACAAATCACTCATGATATTCACGCTTATATTTTAATAAGTTTTAATAAATTTCGTGTTCACGATGCATCACATGATAATCTACTGTCAGTTAATTATTAGAATTATTTTTGTAAGGAATAGATTTTTACATACAGTCTATTTCAAGTGCGACTGTATTACGCTGAATTATGAGGGCACGTTTAATTAGGAGGATACAAATATAAGTTTACGAGTTTTAATATAAGTTATTTGATTTTAAAACCCGCCGGGCGGCAATTTTTGGAATTGAGATCTTTTTCTCTTCTTCCGGAGAGCCCCATTTTTAATAAAAATATTTCAACGAATTGTCTAGCATGTATATGTATTTTATGTGATCATTAAATCTTTTTGCAATTACGATCTGCCAATTGTAATCTTTTATATATCAATATTTAATGTTGTCATTGTGTTTCATCATTAAAGGCAATCAATTGAAAAAATCTTGAAAAAAGAATGTTTACTGAAAGCGATACAATTTTTTATAATATATACATGACTGATTTTACACATAGCAGAATTCTTTTATTCTGAAACAGTTATTTCTGTGTAAATAGAAATTTTTCTTTAGTACTTTCTTCATTGCACATTTGCCACATGATTATATGTGGCCACGTGCACAGTTTGCTTACCAAAAAAGCGAACGAAAGATGAAACGCGCAACATTTTTATTTTATGCGTATCATTAGAATTATTTTATGCGCGTTATTAGAATAAGAACAATATTTGAAAGAAGAATAAAGAAGAAATTCGGCCGTATTAAAAAGAGCTATGCAGATTTCTTTTTCCCTTGCAGTTTCATAGAAATATATGTAGAAATATTGAAAGTAAAACGAGTTTGTTCATATTGATCATGTTCTTTTTTATATAATACTTTACAAAAATACGTATTCGGTAATTTTGCGTAATGGATATTGTGCTTTTAAAAAAATTATATAATAAGTACATTTACGAGTATTATTGTTTCTTGTACATTGAACAGATCCTCACTCGTATGTCTTCCTTATTTATTTTCCGTTCCAGCCGAAGACGACGTGAGCAATCATCAGATACACCATAATTGTTATGGTACTCGTTAGCATGATAGGAAATCCTACCCTGCAATGCAATCGAGACAATCATGCAGCTTCAGCTTTTAATTACGACGGAAAGTGACAAGATCTTCGAAACATGGTGACACATTTTGCATAAATCGTGACGTCACGGTTTCACTTACCTGGAGAATTGCATGAAATTGAATTTGTAGCCGTGCTGTTCCGCGAGTCCCATGCAAACAACATTGGCAGTAGCTCCAATTAAAGTTCCATTTCCTTTAAACATAACTATTCAGCTGAACAACTGCTAGCCATGTGAAAAAAAAACTGGCGCTCTTCGTTTGAAAGCGCCAATTTTCGAGGCATGACCTTTGATTATCATTAATCCAACGCGATCGTGTAAACATTGAGAGAACCATGACGATGCTGTAGAAAGCTCGAAAGATGATTTTATGTTCGAGGCAAACTTTGCAGTTTTGGATTAATTCAGCTTTTGAGACCATTGAGAGATTTAGAAAATTTCTTACCTCCCATACAAGCTCCGAACGTCAGTGCCCATATTAGAGGCTGCATAGGCAATCCGAGCTCGCGATTTTGGGCGAGATTCGTTGCGATTCTCACCATCATAGTGGTGAGTGGTACATTGTCAACAAAACAGCTAGCCAAAGCCGACACCCAGAGCATCAGTAATATAGCAACCGCTAATCGGGACTCCTCGTTGACCGACAGAATAAAATCCTCCGTCTTTTGGCCGATCCACGAGATGAGACCCAAACGCGCAAGAGCCTAAGGAATTTTTTCAAATGCCATTAAACTTCCCAACGAATTCCTTTTAATCTAAAAAAAAAACTCCATCTCAAGGAGTCTACATTAAAATTAGTAAGAATTTTTGTAGAGTTTTTCTTGTGCTACCTCCATAAGAATAAATAACGATGCAAAAAATAACAAAGTGCTCCATTCGACGCGCGCCATGAGACCATCGAAATCCTCACTGTCGACTAGTATCAGAAGCAGCAGAACGCCGAGCAGAGCGATCCAGCCCAAAGACAAATGAAGCAGACTATGTAGAAAGAAGAGTATGACCACGAAAGTGAACGCGCATCCAGATTTTGCCAGCAACCATTTATCCCTAACAGGATACTGGAAAAAACACGAAATTCCGCGGTTAATAATTGAAGCGCAATGAACCTCGCGAAAAATGAAGGATCATCCAACTTGCCTTTTCTTGTAATTCCTCGAGCGTAGTCTTGTACTTCTCTAACGCGGTGCTCCCTGTGCTTAGCTTCTTCTTTAGCTGTGACAACAAACGTTGCACTTTCTTCAGCAACGTTTCCCTTACCAGATTCTCGTCCTTGCTGTAATTGGACAGACTCGCTGCTGCTCGTTGCCAAATAGCGATCATGTGCCTCAATTCCTGTGAATAAACAATTATGCGCAACACATCATAATTTACTCTGTAAATTTTGCGAAGTGGAATCTTATTCTGAATTATAAAAATTGAGCCAGTATTTTTTTTAGAAAGAGTAGCTTAATTTTCGATCTTAAAAGTGAGATTTTACTTTTCACGGTGAGACTCACTGTAAAAATTTTAGACAGTAACAATTATACGAAAAGAACGATTTACTGAAGTATCTAAAAATTTAGCTAGATACAGATCTGAAAATAATTTTGTTGGACTATTAAAATAATTATACAGGGTGTTCAAGTTGATTGCCAAAATGTCAAAACGTTTTGCAGCATTTCTCATTATACTAGAATTTTCTGTATAATTGCTTTGATGGTCCAACAAAATTATTTTCAAATCTACGTAAATTTTTAGATACTTCAATAAAATCATTCTTACCGTTTAACAAGAAGGTTTATTTATATGTAAAAAATTAATGTACAGTTGAAAAAAACTGTTTTATATATAATTGCAATAAATATAAAATACTATGCACATTAATTCTACAATAAAATTTGTATAGTTGTTACTTTTATAGTTGCTACCACTGTCTTTGGGCTGAATTTCTTGCACGTTCATTTTTCTTCTTTTTTTCACATTAAAGAAAAAAAGATAAAAGATAAATCGTGTAAAAAGTTCAGTCCTGGAGTATGGAAAAAGGACAGACCTTTTTTATCTGAATAATGTATTGGAAGTTTGGCATATTATACCTGTACGTCTTGCGGCTCGTTGAATCTAAGAACTGTGATGTCTCGAAAAATGTAGCGGATTTGCGCGCTGACCACAATCAACACCAACATCACGCCGATGCTCATGTGCAACACAAACTTACCAAAATCAACTTCCTACGATGCGGTAATTATCTGTTAATTATCAGATCGACTGAAGACATTATCTTCTGTGCAATGTAGCACATTCGTATAACTCACGGCGTTTTTAACATCCCGATTGGAAGCGATGATGACATTCGGCGGATCGCCGACCGGTGTCATAGCACCTCCTATGTTGGAATAAACTACCATAGCAGTCAGGATTGGTACTGGGTTCAACTCCATTACCTCGCATAATCTAATAGTTACCGGAGTCATTAATAGCACGGTTGTCACATTATCTAGCAATGATGACAGAAACGCAGCGAAGAAGCAGAGGGCCATTATCAATGGCCACAATCTTCCGGCGGTTATCTAAAAATGAAAGGTGAATAAAGGTATCTCAGGTTCAGTTATTTTTTTCACTTCAGACATATGCCAGTTGTTTTTTCTCACTTTGTAAGCGTAAACTGCCAACCAGTCAAACATTCCAGTTTCAGCGATGATGGCAACCAGCACCATCATGGAGAACAGTAGCAGTAGCGTGTCCATATCTATCCAAGAGACCAGTTCGCTCATACTCGGACGCTAAAGTACAAAATACTAAATGAAAAAAATTATTTTGTTGAAGTATCTAAAACTGTAACTAGATACAAATATAGCTGAAAACAATTTTGTTGAACCATAAATATAATTGGGAAATTATCGTGGAAATTTCAAGCATGATACGAGCTGCAAAAAATTTTCTAGCAATCAGTTTGAGTGTTCTATATAATTATTTTGACGAATTAACAAAATTATTTTCAGATCTATAACTAAGTTATTAGACACTGTAAAATCGTTCTTTCAGTGCACTTTTTATATTTGTCTTTTAAAAGATTCCGTCATAGAAATTATAAGAGCGTGTATTTGCGCGTACCTCATTTAGAGCCGCCAGCATTGCGACGGACATCGTGGATGCCAGCATGGCAGCCAGAGCTCTGTGTACTACCTGATTCGGTCAAACATAATGAAGCATTTAGGAATCGACAAAAATAAATACATCCTAATTTGCGTACATGATTTACCTCGAAAATTATCAGGATGTATAAGATAATCAAAATAACAGCGGCAAGCGGTATACCGATATCGACATTTATTGGCGATGGATCGTAGCCTATCGAAAGCGAAAGAATGGATTCCGAATTCGAGCGCAGATTGATGAACATTATGCCTTGCGATAGGATTCTATAAACAAAACATTTGCTAAGAAATTCTGAGATATTATTGCATGTGAGACTTTTAGATATTTCCGCTGGCGTTTTGCCAACAAAATTTGTAATAAACACTTTGCAAAATTCATTTTCATTAGATTCTCATACAGAAAGTTTTCAAAAATATTTCAGAAATATTTCAACTGAAAAGTGAAACATTTCATAAAAATTGCAAAATATGTCTGTAACATTTCTGAGACAGCTCTGGAATAGCAAAATGTCCGCGATTCTTACATATGAAACCTTATTGAAAGATTGATGAAATGTTACAGAAAGAATCTGCAATCTTTTTGAAATATTACCAGAAAGTTTTTAGCTATTTTTAGTACTTCAAAAATGATATTTAAATATATACTTGATTGATATCTAAATAATATTTAAATTTATTATAACGACATAATAAATTTAAGTATTATTTAAATATCATTTCTGAAGTACAATTTATTAAGAATTTTGTAATCTGTTTACAGATTACAAACTTGTTGAAATAAACTTAAAGAATTTCCCAAAAATGATAATTATATCACCTATTTTATATCAACTATTTTGATTAATTAATGACTTATTAATGATTATATGTATAAGCACATATCATAATCATTATTAGAAAGATAAAAAGTCACTTACACTTGCAGTTTCCACACATTATCATTATTCATATACAAAAGTTTTTCGCAATTAAAGCAGAACAAGTCACAATAACATCAAAATGACATTAAACTGTATCGTGATTGATAAAAAAAAAATGATTTTTAGTAAACATTTTGGAACCATTTTAACATCATGATGATTTTTTGTTCGGTTTAAATATTTTTCAATTTATTGCATATGATAGATTTTATAAACATTTCTGTTAAAACATTTTATATGACATATTGCAGAATCCTTTCAGAATTGTTGCACATGAGATGTGAAAGGTTGAAACGTTTCTGAAAATTTTCTGCAATAATCAGTGCTGTATGGGTTCGAATAATAGTAAAAATATGAGACAACGTACCTGTTGTCAGCTTTTATATGGAAAGTCTTCTGATGCTTCTGGTCGGGGAAAATGGTCGCCAAATTTTCAGGTAGCACCGGCAAGGTCCACACGTCGCTTACGTTCTGCAGTTAATAATTGCAAATACAGTATGGTGTAACTAGTTTATAATTATCCAGTAAATAATTGCCCAGTCGACACCAACTAAAAGTAACATAACATGTTATAATTACATGGCTGTGATGAAAGAAAATATACGTTAGTTAGGTTTACTATTTAATTATGGCTGTGATGATATAGATAAGGTAATGAATGACAAGAAAGTGCATAGGAGAAAGTTATATAAAGACAGGCATTAGAATTTAATGAATATGAGGCGTGCGGCGGAGCAATGGACGGATGAATGAAGTAAGAAACATTTGTGAACTATACTAAATCCCCTTCTTAATTATTCTGTATAAGTTGAAGAGAAATAAATATTCATTAGTGTTATATAATTTCGCACAATTTAACTGTTATGTAACACTATGTGTTATATTACATTTATATTTTTGAGTACGAAATTATAACATTGTTACGTTACTTTTAATTTGTGTTGACTAGACATTTCAGTAAACTTAACTATCTAAATAAATACGCGCGGTATACATTCAATATAATCAAAATTAATTATTTTTATGAAATGTGTGTAAAAGGATGGCCGAAGGATGTTTGTAATAAGCAGTTTGTTGATATGACTGATTTCTTTTCTTCTTTTTCTGTTTCAGGCTTGGCTGGATTTGACTTCGTGTTCTTTCGATGCAAACATAAGTGTATGCAGAATAATTTTGTACGCGTTTAAAGATATAAACACCTTCAAGTTCTTCAAATCCGTAGTGGAGAGACATGAATTGGTTTTTCCGTCCACCAGAACCTGCAGCCATACCATTAAATAGCACGTGGATAAATTCGCAGGTAAATACTGCTCGTGTTTTTGTAACGGCAGCAATGGTCCTTTCATCGTCACGCTGATCAACGTACTTGTAACATATTCGCTGATTCGATAATCTATATATCGTTAAAGAGAGTATTCTTTTGATTGATGTTATACCATTTATGGAAATTTCGTCTCCTAAATCCCATCTGCTCAAAATAGACGAAAATTCGCAGTTCGATTTTTCATGATTGACTAGAAGGATACTCCTACTTTCTCTGTTAGACACAGAAAGCTGATGCATCGTCTCAATCCTTTCTTTTTTGAACATCAATATCAACTGCAATATGAAGCAACGTGAGATTTAATTATTAATTGATCACATCGGTCCGATGGTTTTCTTACTGTGAATAGAAGCCAACAGCAGGAAAGTATGATTAACTTCGCGTAACGGCAAAAAGGCCTCTGTCTCTCCTGCATTTGCATATCCTGCCCGTCTTCATCGTTTTGATTTTGTACGCTGTGAAAATATCAGGATTAATTATTACATCCGCTCATTCTGAGGATTCGTAGGATTTCATTGAAATTTCCCCTTAAGTTCCCCACAATATGTAAAGATACAGTTTAGATGTGACTTACCCGATTGATGCCGCGGATTGCATCTCAAGAGACATATTCACAACCAGGCATTCTTTCTTCACGTAATCCAGAGATCTACAAACGCGTTATCTTTCGTTATGTAGAAATCCTTTTTCGTCGATTTCTTAGATTTATTTCGCTCACCTCGTTTCCGTTATTCGATCACATTCCTTCTGAAAGATCGCCAAACTCGGATCCAGGCGAACCGCCTCCGGTAGTTGACTCCAAGCGCGAAGTACCTCCTCGGGAATTTGTCCGAATATCACAGAGCTCGAAACGGAGGAGGAGGGACTGATCGGGCTACATATAACTTTAGGAACATTTGCTATAGAATTATGTCCAAATTACAATTGATTTCAGAACCATAGACGTATAAATTTTTTCTAAGAGACCCAACAATTTCAAGGTGCTAGTGTTTTTAAAAATTTTAATTGTTTGTTCTTTGTGATTTTTTTAACAAGTGGAATTTTAGTGAAAAATTAAAATTAATGAAAAAAATTAAAATTTTATTGAATTTTAATCTTATATTTGTTTTACGATGCCTGGCAGAAAATAAATACATTACCAGAATTGTGTATACGAAATTTTCAATTGAGAGATTCAGTGTGTGATTCGCGTGTATAAAAATATAACGTTCTGGGTTTTGATATAAACAGGCTTCGTAATTCTCTTAAGTAAAATATACCTGAATTGTTATGGATGTGAGAATTCGGGTTGAGGTACACCCGTGGCGGATCAGATTCATCGTCACTCGTATCATTCTGCGGCATTATAGCAATTATCTCAATCTATCTGTTATTATTTATTAATTTTAGTCAAATTAAAATATTGGTTTTATTAAATTCGCACGCATTTTATTTACACGATGCCGCGCGCTATGTTGTGCCTCTGAAAACACTATGTGACTGTAGGAATTCCTTTACTCACAAGGTTCTCAGAGGTCGCCTTATAGATTATTTACATTTTACGATGTAAACATAGAGCATATAGAAATTGGAATTATATTATACAGGATAGGCCATTTTAATTAATACACGCAAATATCTCGTAAGGTAAGCAAGATAGCGAAAAATGTTTCAGACCAAAGTTGTATGGCTTTGAGGGGGACATAAGATGGTGTCATTAGTTCGACCTTGAATAGTTGCTTGAAGGTCACGTGAAGATTACCTTCAATTCTTTAAATGAAAACCCTTATTTTTCATTGCATATTCTTGTAGCTTACCTCGAGAGCTTTCCAAAACACTATAATAACATATTTTTTCATCAAGTACTTTTATAGTTATGATGCTTAAGGAATGTAAGCTTTGCTCTCTAAATTTTTTGAAGTGGAATCTCATTCTAAAGAGTAAAAATTGAGTCAGTTTTGAAAAAGAGCGGCTCGACTTTCAATTTTTAAGAGCAAGATTTCACTCCCTCTCATTCACTCTAAAAAATTCAAAGAGTACGTAACATCAAATATAAAGATTTTTATAATTTATGAAAAATCGCGTATTATACATAAAATCACATTGAAATGTAAGAAATAGCTTAAAGTATCAATAGCTCTAAACAATCGTATCTGTGGGGAAAAATTAAACATATGTTTGAAAAATACAGAAATTTATTATACAGAAATTCATTATAATTTTACTATACAATTTCGTGTATTAACATTGTGTCAATTATTATTAAAAAACAATCATTATTTTTAACGCTATCAATTAGCTGAAACAGTACAATTTAATTGTGTGGTCGCACAGTGGTTAAATTATCACACAATTATACAACCAAGAGATTGTATTCTGTAACTCTTAACGATTGTAACGTAGCGTTGTTGCGGAGTTTTTTTTATCATGTACAGAATCTGAGCAACACTGTAACGCTACGATTACAGTCATTAAGAGTTACAAGATAGGCCCCTAAGTATAATATATAACGTTGAACTCTACGAATTCATACACTGAGAAAAATTTTTGGTTGAAAATGAAAATGAAAACGAGTCAGAAAATTCTAATCACATCAATCAAAATTTTGATTATCTCAGCTAGAATTATAACAGATTTAATCAGAAAATTCTGATTTGTCCATTTTCAATCAGAATTCCAATTAACGCAACCAAACTCTCTAGAGTATCTATCGATATTTTAAAAAATTACTATACCTTTGTACATTGAAAAATATAATTACAATCAATTAACAATCTCATAGATATGATATTAATGTGTAAAAACATTATATACAGTTGAGAAGATTAAAAATAACTCAACATTCATCAGGCATTCTTTGCACACATTTTATAAATATAACACAATCATCTAAGTTATATTACATCGTACTGTGCTACGATTGCTATGACAATGCATCTCTTGTTGTCGTATATCATTTTAAAAGTCTTTAGCGACAGACGAACACTTTTCATGTGTCAACCAGTTTTCTCTGATGTTCCTAAACGGTTTCCTTGTCCTTCTTCACGGCGTTGATCGACTTTTGCCGAATAATATTTTGCAGGTTCTGCATTTCATGCTTTTCCATCGTGTAGTTGTATCGGCAGTAGAACCAGTAAACCACGGTAACGCCCATGTAGGATCCCAGGGCGACGTTCGTCGACAGTTTCACGCGACTGGTGAACATGAAGGTGCCCAGGCCGGCCGCGAGACCGCTGTAGATGCCGAATAGCATACTATGCTTGAAACAGGGAATCTTCCTGATGTCTCGGCCGAACAGCATCACCGCCTTGGACTCATCTTCCTCATCCAAATTTTGAACGATCGCGTTATTCACGTCCTCCATGATAATACAAACGATTTTCACACGTAATCTTCACGAGCGGGACGAAAAGTAAGGTTAAGCTGGAGTAATAATAGTCGTATAATTCCTTTCAGTTGCACTCTTTGCACTTTGTGCTCCTACCTTCTCTTTCTCCAGGTCGAACGCTGATTGGCCGCGGCGACGACGTGCGGGGTGCAGAGCGCCGGGTGACGTCGCACGACGCATGTTCCGTGCTATCGAATCCGAGTGACAGGTGGTGCGGCTCAGCTCGGCTCAGCTCGGCTCTCAATCCCGTGCGGTGCACACATTTGGTACGTGATCGTTGGCGTGAATAACGCGGTCCGTCGTGCACCGTCGTGGACGTTTGACGTTACTGCCGAAAAGCGTGGCCCTGCTGCATCTATCCTTTAAAGGGAAATCAACGAGAGAGAAGGATACTCTACGTCGCAGGTCATCTTACGTCGCACACGTCGCGAGGACGCGAATTGCGTGGTACTCCGAAAACGGCACTCGGGACACCCGTCGTCATCCGTCCAAATTGTGCAAATCGCGGTGACATGCACGCACGATCACCCGTGCGTCGCTGCTCGTAGGTGCTCCACCCCTCCCCGTGTTCAGTCCCTACGATGTGTACCACGTATCCGCGCGACTCACCCGGGAGATTCAGCTGCAGAAGAGGTAAGAGTCGTCACTTATGCGTCGCGTGTCCCTCTGACACGAGGACACCGCGACCCGGGTCGATCGCGGTGTCCCTTAACCTTATCCATGAAAACAATCCGGAGTAACGCCGCGGGAAGCTCATGTCACACGTCACAGTATGCATTAAAGATTGAGAAGTGTGCGAATTAGAGATGTTAGCATTCAACTAATTAGAACAAAATGGATAAAAATTATCTTACTGATAGAATTCTAATCTTCAATTCATCGTTAATCTTCCATGCGTAGTGTGACACGGCTCTATATAGCACAGAAGCTTGCAGCAATATTGTTGCAACGTTGTAATGTTAACTTTTAGACTGCCGGGAAAGCCACTTTTGTGGCTCTTGAGTGTGGGTTAAAATATTATTTTTGGTGGTATTTTAAATACTAATTGTATTAAACATATATATGTATGTTGCCCAAAATATATAAAAATATATAAGTATTGAAAAATATACAAAAAAAGGAAAAAATTATAAAACAAGAAAAAGTAAAAAAAATACAAAAAATAAATTTAAAAACCGAACAAAAAAGAAAAGTCAAAAAGGAGTTATAAAGTATATACTTTTTTTTTTACGTCTATATCGTTAGTTCTGGGCAATCCTAAAGGAAAGTTTTCTGCGTGAGTCTATACGTTTATATTCATTTATGTTGTCAATATTACGGTTAGGGTTCGAAATTTTTTAAATCTATGCTCAGAATTGGAATCAGCGATACCAAGAACCCTTTATGGCTCTGCACAAATCTCAATATTCTGCGTCATGGGTATGTTACTTATATAAAAAAAATTTCGAGAAAAAAACCACTATTTTAACGAAAAAATGCCGGCAGTCTAAAGGTTAATGCAATGTTACTGGAATGTTGCTGTGTAATATTGCTAGAATGATCTGTGTTGTACTCATACAGCACGGAAGCTTGCGGCAACATTGTTACAAAGTTGCAGTGTTACTGCAATATTGCTGGAACGTTGCAATATTGTTGGAATGATTTATGTTATACAATGTTGATGTTAATTCGATGTTGCTGGGACGTTGCAATGTTGCTGTAATATTGCTAGAATGATCTGTGTTGTTCTCAGCACAGAAGCAACATTGCTACAGCACAGAAGCAACATTGATACAAAGTTGCAGTGTTACTGCAGTATTGTTGGAACGTTGCAATATTGCCGGAATGATGTACAACATAGAAGTTCACAATAATATTACTACAACGTTATAATGTCACTGCAATATTACAGCCTAGAAGCTTGCAGTAATATTGCTGCAACGTTACAATGTTGCTGTAATATTACTGAAATGATTTTTGCTGTACCTACACCTACAAGAAGCTAGCAGCAACATTGTAAATGTTGCTGCAAGTTTCTGTCCACAATATTGCAATATTACTCTATGCTGTAACGTTTGCAATGTTGCTGCAATATTGCCGGAAGGATCTATACCTATATAAGTATGGGCCTCACGTGCAATTCTAGCACAGATCATTTCAACATTGCAACATTCCAACAGTATTGCATCAACATTGCAGCATTCCAGCAATATTGCATCAACATTACAACATTTCAATAACATTGCAGTAAATTAGAAATGTTGCAGCAATGTTGCTGCAAGTTTCTGTGCTATATAGAGTTTCGAAGCTCGCGGTTCTTAACGCGGGTCTGAACTTTCGAAACTACTGGCTGTGTAAATTAAATCCGCGTCACATAAATAAACTGAATGTATGTATACACGTATGTTCAACGGTGCGTCACCGAAGCACTTTTGACGGATGCTGCACCGAAAGATGGTAATTGATGATCAGAGATAAGACGCGCGTTCATTGACGACAATTGTCCGTCTTGTCATTCGCGGAATAAATTGCCAGGTTATAGATTACGTTTCAGAGTATACGCGTTTTGTTTCTGTGATATTTATAACGTTTATTTTTGTGATATTTTTTATCGGAAGTCATCTTTTGTCCGACGATAAGACTGAATAAGATCCACTTCGGAAGAACGCGCGTCCGAAAATGAGAAAACAGTGAAGCTTTGCGATCCTCCCATGAAGCTGGACGACTTAATTTTTTTTCAGTGTATTCGAGATTACTCTACGGCAGGCCAGGCATAAAACCGCCTAAGGGATTTTCGTTTCTGTGAGTAAGGAATCGCGGAGACGCGGTGACATCATCTAGGAATTCGCATACGCTTCTATAATTCGGGGGAAAGGAAGAGGTGCATGCACGTTATTTCCTCGCACTATTAACCACGTCTTGCTCTCTCCCTCTCTTTCTCTATCTTTTTTCGCAATCTATCCTTTTCTGCTCCTTTTACTCTCGATCTCCGTGGGAAGTATTATTTCATTCGCAACGGAGTAAGTTGAGATACGAAGATCCAAGGAGAGAAGAATTTACGAAAGCGAGAAGTCGCGAGTCGGGAAAATCGAGGAAGGATTCTCGAGGAGAGAATCACGATTCACATCCCTGGAGATCCCAGGATCTAGAGTCCAATATACAGATGGCGATTCGTCCACCGTTTTTCTAGGAGGCTGTTGCGAACTAAAGAATTGGCAAGTAATGCGAAACAAACGACCGGAGTCAACGGGGTTATCGTCCCGTTTGTGTATTGTGGAAGTCCCTCGTGATCTTTTTTTTTTTGCGACGTGCGCTGATCGTTTTTACCTCCCAGGAGGGACTAAGTTAATGAAATCGTCGCGTCGATTAAGGGAATTACCTGCACCTGCGAAGGCATCTTCGGTGCCCGCTAACGTTCCACGCTAACGGTAAGCCGAGATTTCGCGCGGAGCCGAACGCGGCGCAAGAAAGGTCAGATTCCATGCATTTACGGCGCGAGAGGCACCAACCGCGATCGCTTACCCGTTGCTTTATACGGGGAACCAAAAACATTCATCCGAAATCATCGGGTTGTTGCCGAAAATTTTGCCGAATGCATTGACGGATCCAGAAATTTGTCAGGGAGAGAAGTCCATTAGCAAAAACCATAAATGATATTTTTTTTAAGATCAAATATAAAAAGATAGAATATTAAATTATTATTTAAATTATTACATTGAAAAGTAACTTACTTAATTTGATTACTGAATTACTTACTGAATTACTTACTTAAATTATTACTATTGAAAAGTAACTTCATAAAAAATCGTCATTTAAAAAAAAATGATTTTTTTTAAATATTAAAATTGTTACAACTTAAAAAAAATGATTTTAAAGGATTGTGAAACGAAAATGACAAAAATAATGTTTGATTACGTTAAAAATATATTTTTGCTGATATTCAATTAATCAATAATTTTCTGTCAAGTTGATAAATAGTTCTTTTTCTTTTCTAAGAAACTTAATTTTTTTAGTTGTGTGTCATTTGTGGAGTAAGGAAACGATGTATCATTATTCTGTATTTTACACCTTATCTTGGGTTTTGACGTCATTATGTGTAGGCTGTTTTTCTTTTAGGAGATACAAACGTCTATCTTTTTTCATTCAATGAATGACAAAGATACAATGACATATATTGACTGTATCTCCCAAAAGGAAAGCAGCTATTTTACACTATCTTAGATATTGACGTCTCCGTATCTCTGACAATGAGCCTCTTATTCCTTCGCTTCGGATTCCAGAAAATCTTCGAATTTCAGAATTATTCTTCTTTATTCGGCGATCCCGCGAGACGTTACGGAACGCGGAACACGAGTTAATGTAATCCGCAATGCTCTCTACGACAAATCGGGCCAATGCCATTTATTGTCCTACATTTGAACATCGTAGCATGCTGGTCACCTTTCACCATCTATGCGATGCATTTCAAATAAAAATCCTCGGACGCTCCCTACGATATGTCTTTCGAAGTTGGTAGTCTTGTTATTTCAAAGAATCATCCGCATGCGAAGGAAGCTAGGTATATAAGATAGCCGCTTTGAACGTTTTGGCAGTAAAAATTAACTATATTAGATATATCGTCGCGTTGATAGAGAAATAATAAATAACAGAAATAAAAAATTAGCATTTTTGAAACAATGAAAGGAAATCAACCCTTAAAGACTAACATATTTTTGTGGAAAGACGACACATTTATTGATACACTATACTTATCTAGAAGTGTCACAATTTTAATAAGGAATAAAATTTACACAATCTTATATTAGGATTACCGTGTTTGAATTTCGAAAACTCATGACATAGTTTTAAAGAATATATTATAATTGAAAGTATAACGCGGAAAGCAAATTAGTATATTGTATATAGAAAGGAAGTTATGTATATTCATTATCTTGATTAAAACGTCGTTCCAATTTAGAAAGAAAAAAATACTTTACTGAAAAGTTACTTGATTTTGAGACGTGTCACTTTATTTTTATCAACACGGTGATACACGGAAAGAATGATTTTGCTGAAGTACCTAAAAATTTAACTAGAGACAGATCTGAAAATAATTTTTTTTATATATAAAATATAATTACATGATATAAATATAATATAAATAAATGTATAAAATAATTTCATATGTATAAAATATATAAATATATAAAATGTAATAAACATAATATAAATAAATATAATATAAAATTTAGAAAATATGCACACACACACACACACACATACACACATTATATATTTACATAACGGTATCAATGATAGTCATCTTGAGAAAGATTGAATGTTTAGAGAGTCATTGCTATCATGTTCCGCGCTTGTGGGTCAATACCCATTCACGTTCGATCTGTGCCGAATTTTCGACGAGAGCGACGCTCGAGAGACTCGGGTCTTTAAAATCTGTGTCCTATTTTCCGGTTTAGCACAATCACTGCCTCTATAACATAGATTTATCTTGCCGTGATATTATCGATAGTCGGATGATTCCATTAGGAGGATTATTTTATTAAACGTTTCTCTTCCATTAAAGTAATTTATATATTTCTACATGACTTTCTTTTTAACTATTTTTATAAGATCCTTTACCGCAAAAGAATCCGAGTTCCGAGTAAAAGCCGCGTTTTATACGTATTTCTTGGAATGTTTTTTCCTTCGCGCTTCGCTGCTAATGTCTCTTCTTCGGAACATTCTGTATATCGCAACACTGGCGTATCTAATGGGGACGCGAGTTCGGTTCGTGACCTGCAAGATTGAGAACCGGTGCCGTAACGCGAAAGGTAATCATAGATGATGTACCTCGGCATACCTCGACCGGTGCCTCTGGTTAAATCGCGCATTTTCTCCTTTCGACAGAGAAATAGGCTTTATCGATCAGCGCGGAACTTTTCCCTGACTTACATGTTACTTCAGGTGGTGGTACTCTGTCTACTTCTTGGTACCCTGGCTGCATATACCTATATCCTTCCGCTATTTATACTTTCTTTTCGCTTAATGATGTTCGCTTCTATTGAACGAAGATTCTTCATCGATCAACTGCGAGTTGAAATGTTAATGAAAGCGAATGGGAAGACAGGTGTGCAATCAGGATAAGGAATGTTATACGCATAGTTTAACTCTTTCCGCTATACGTGTCGTCGATGGTACGCGGGCGTATAATAACGTGTTAAGGGAAGAACTCTTGTCTACTTAATTTACACGGGGGTATCTTGGCATTCTTCAACTTTACGTGCTCTCTTTTAAATGGCTTTAACAATTAGCATAAGCCCAGTGGTGGATTTACACATTTTTGCATCCTAGGCCCTGTACTTCTTGAGAGGCCCGCTCCTTTCAGACAAATGAATAATAAAAAGAAGGTATCAAAAGGTGTCACTTTTTCACCAAAACGTCAAAATTTTATTTTTGTGCGTCAATGCACTACTTCAAGTTGCCATATTGACAAAAATGCGTCACAACTGGCAATCCTGCACAAATATAAAATTAACTTTCCGTTTGTTCTTTTTTGAAGAATTTTGTACTAATTCTAAACTAATGAAATATGTTAGAATGAAACAAACTATACCTGTCTCACTCTAACTTACTACACCAACTCAGAACTTGTTGGAAAAAGAATAGGCCTTTTAATTTTGGTTTCTAGAAGGATGACGCTCTTGTGCCCCTAAAAAGATGGCGCCCCTAGGCCCAGGCCTCGTAGACCTCTGTCTAAATCCGCCACTGGCATAAGCGCACGAACGCGTATTTACAGAGTACTTTTACTAATGCATATTCTCTTATATATGAACAGCATTCGGTGTTGGGACAAGGTTGGCGGATCTATATGGGGCAATGCGTGTCTCGTAAGGCGGGCGCCGTCGTCGCAGCATCCGGTCATCACAATTCACCCTCGTACCGTATCATGGACAAGGCCCAGAAACAGGTGAGCTTCTCGCCGTCTCAATATCTATGCGATGTCATCGCTATAGAACCGCTCCAACGGCGATAAAAATTCCTCTTTAAAATTTTTAAAGTGAATCTCATTCTGAAGAGTAAAATCTCACTCTTAAAGATTGAAAATTGAGCCACTCTTCTTTAAGACTGACTCAATTTTCATTCTTTAGAATACCAGAGATATTTAGAGATACCACTCTAGAAGAATTTAGAGAGTATACGAGTTATTTAAAATTTATATTTCTTTATAATAAAGTGAAATATTTCTAGTGAAATTCCACTCCAAAGAATTTAGAGAGTGCGTGCAGCAAAAAATGCAGTTTTACAACTGTTAAGATTCTTTAATCAGGAAAATTTGCCATAAATCAAGGAAATGTTAGGGAAATCAGAGAAATTTCGCAAAATTATAATTCTTGATTTTAAAGAAGATTAATATGCACATATCACACCTACGTAATTTTAAAATACTATCAATTTAACAATTAAACGCAAGCAGTGTCAACAACATTAATAGTAATTTATATTACTGTATTAAATTGCTCTTTCAACAAAATATTTGACGGTTTCTGAATCAGGAAAATACAAAAAATTTTGAAATATTATTGAAAGCAGGGGAAAGCCTGAAATTTTGTCCAAAAATCAGAGAAAAGTTATGAAATTTTAGGATGAGGAATTTGTGACTCTGTTTAACATAGTTGGTTTATATTCAGCAAGCAAACTGTCCAGCAGATTGGCAGCATATTCGATGAGAAAAGTGCAGCAGTACCATCTGTGTTTGTATTAAGCTCGTCGTTCAAAGCTGATCGACGTAACTTGATAGTAGACTGATGGCAAAAATCGAGCAGAATTTGTCGAATGTAGATCCTGCTCGATTTCTGCTGCCAATCTGCATCAAATTATGTACAAACTTGTCCAGTTTTTGCCTCGAATGCTGTCAAGTCATAATACAAACAAATTTTGTTATATTTTTTGTGACATTCTGTTGACAAGGCATTTTATACAATAGATCTTTTTGAAACTTTCCTACTCATTAAATTTATCAGTAGACGCTTTGGAAAACTTGTTCAAGCAGACTTGGCTGACATTTAGATCCAGTGAAAAACTAAGGACAAAACTCAGTCGTACTTTTTCTATTGAACACAATCGATAACATCGACTGTATCGCCGATGGACGTTGAACTTCAAGGTCCACGTTCACCATCGACGTCGAGTGTGTCCCTGGCTTCCGCCGTTATTACATTTACGCAATATCCACGAGGGATCGCTTATGTACATATGCATGTATGAATGTGCTTTGCCAAGTATCATGTATACTCGGCATGTACGCGTATAGCGGAAAAACCAGCTGATCGCGCGGACGGCTAGGCTGAAGGCCACGTCGAGGTTCAACGCCCTTTCTCAAATGCGATTCCACCCGCAACGGGATCCCGCTTCACCCGTGAATAGATCATTCGCGCGCATCCGTGTCCGTGTCGCCAAACCGCCTTGCAACCTGTTTAGTTCCTTTCTGTAAAAATGATAGCCAGCGACGCGTGACCGAATATTGCGTTCGACGTTTCTCTGCGGCACGTAGGCGTTGAATAACGATAATTTTCACTATCTTTCGACATTGTACCGAACATCAGTTTCATTTCACACGATCTAAATGCTCGAGCGTGCAATTTCGACGCAAATATTACAATTATTATCGTCGATCCTTTTTTTTTATTTTTATAATTCGCGATTGAAGTCTACGCTTTCATATATGATGTGCAGATAAGCGCCGCGTAATCACTCGCATGCTCGAATGCCTCCTTTAACGATGAAACTAAGAATAATTCGACTGTCGAATGTATCTTGTTGTACTTATCTTGTTGAACGTATCCTGTAAGTTATACGATCGATTTCCACTTTCGCGGCTCGCGAATTAACTTTCTCATGCACGAATCGCGACGAATTAATTATCTTCTAACGGGCATGACATGATGAAACGTCATAAGTCGCTTTAAAAACGATTACGTTGCCTAGACTTGCACTTCATCCTGTCCAGTCGATGCACTGGAGTGGATAAATATAGTCTTATAGAAAATAGCCATCACATATTTGACTTAATTGATAATACCTTTGAGGCTTACATAGGTACTTTTTTTAAAAGAAGCTACGTGATTTACTCCGTGTCTTGATACGTTATTAAACGCCGACGTTTCGCGAATATTACAGTTCATTGATCCTGATACTGATCAATATCGGGTTGCTTCTCGTTCTGATAAAGTGAACCGCAATGGTCACGAAACGTTGGCGTTTAATGATGTATCAACACGGAGAGAACGGTTTTGCTGAAGCACCTAAAGATTAGCTGGATACAGATCTGAAAATAATTTTGTTATATCATCATGCTTGAGGTTCTTAAGCGATTATTTTAATCGTCTGACAAAGTTATTTTTAGATTTGTATCTAGCTGAATTTTTAGATACTTCAGAAAAATCATTTTTTTTCCGTGAAGATACGAAGACAACCCGCAATTATCCGCGTTTCTTATATTTGATTAGAGTTTTTCAGCATTATTAACATTTTTATAATATGATGCCTGATTGAGCATCAAAATTATTAAAATTATTTGTCAATTTAATTCGCGAGTTTACTACAATAGTTTAATTGCGTTTATACAGTCCGGAAAAGAAATTCGGCTCTCAGTTCGAAAGACTACAAATATGATATATATGCAAGTACATATACATATACATATAGTATATTTAGTAATTCAAGATTGAATTATTTAAGCATTAAAGATCCAGCTTCGACCGTTATAGGTTCAATATATTTTAATATTGATTGTATTCTCACATTTATACACCGCGTTTGGTCTAAAATAATATTGTTTCTTATATAAGTTATGATCGTTCGCGAAAGTACATTAAAAAATTTAAAAGTAATTGGCAAATGCTGCACGAAAAGAACAATTTTGTTGAAATATTTAAAAATTTATAGCTGCACGGAGAGAATTTTTTCTTAGAGTTTACCCTGAAAATGATAGTCGTGGAACAATATGTATTTCGAAGAATTTTTTAATGTAAATCTCTCATTCATTAATAAAACTACAATAAAGTATAAAATAAGTTTGATTAATTTTACTGAAGTGCATAGTAAAAATCTTTAAAATATTGTATTGTACCACAACTATCATATTTTCAGGGTAAATTTTAAAAGAAAATTCTCTCCGTGTAGATATAGATATGGAAATAATTTTGTTGGACCATCAAAATAATTATGTAGGAAACTTAAACATATAAATAAGCAATTTTGCAAAAAGTTTTGATATTCAATAAGAACAAATCTTACTTTTGATGTGATTTTCGAGTGGCCAGTTGGAGCATCCTACATAATTATTTGGATAATTTAACAAAATTATTTTCAGACCTATGGGCGGTATTCATAATCCGTTCTTATTTTAAGACCGTCTTAAGATGCTCATGCGGCTCTCTGATTGGTTCATGACATCTTAAGACTGTACTTAAAGCGATCTTAAATATAAGATTTGACTATATATAAATACTGGCCTATATCTAGTTAAATTTTTATATATACTTTAGCAAAACCGTTTTTTCCGTAAAGAACTGTAAAGAGTCAATTCGCATTTCTTCGCATCTCTAGGAATCCGTTAACTCGTGTGAATTTCAGCACCCAACTTCTTGTAATTCTTTTATACGCACGTGAATCAACCAATGTTAATTCATTAATCGTCGCTATATAGTTTTCACAATCAGGACGATCCCGCTTCTCAAACGGTTCTGTCGAGATTTACCCTTTTAACAAAACCTTCGTGTGTTTCTCGTGAGAACTTTTATGTTCACTCGGGGAACATGCCGCGGTTCACGCGACCGATCTCGTTTCGGCCGACGACGATGTGCTTTCCATTGTTCGTCGTCACGCGTGCCGGTTGCATGACAGCCCCACGCCGGAAACCAAAGAGGCTGGAGAACGTCGGAGAGAACCTGTGGTCGCGGCGCGTGCACGGTTCAGGTGCGAAGAAGGAGAAATCGCGGAGAGAACTCTCTCATCTTTTCTCCCCATTGTCTCTCCCCGCGTTGTCTCGCCTCCTCGCGCACGACCGTGCCGATTCGCACGGCGAGATCACACGCCGGATCAAATGCCGCTTCTTGCTATTGTTCCCCCCGATGTCCTCTCGTTAGAAGCTGGCGTTTTCAACCGAAGATCTCAGCCGAGATGTCTACGTTTAAAGCGGAAGCTGATCCTCTTTTCCTTCGTGAAACGGTTGCGTGCGTGTATATGACCGTTGTATGCACGAGAGTTTCGATGAACGATGTGGATAAGAAAGTTCGCTCGAGTCATTTCGATCACCTGAACTCTTACCTTTATCTACGAAACTTCCTTTGTCCGCGGCGTTATCGCGACGTGAAGCGCAAAGGCTTAATTATCTTATCAGCAACATCAATTTCAACACGAAAAGAACGGTTGAAGTATTGAAAAGTGAGCTGATGTATAGATCTGAAAATCACTTTATTTGGAATATTAAAATAAGTATACAGGGTGTTTCCAAATTAAATCGCAAAACTTCGGGAGCGTGTAGAGGAGTAAAAAACTAAGAAAAAAAGTCCTATAGACATATGCTCGTTTTTGCTCCGTTTCAGAGAAATCGAAAAAAAATGTTTACATTTCTTGCCATATCTAGCACCGACATATTTGATTACATTTTCCACTTTCTGTTATGAATTTGTCAGTCGCTCTTTGAAAGCCTTTAACAGTAGATGAATTTTGTCTTTTGCAATATGCCGCGTACGTATTCTAATAGTGAATATGCTGATATGGTTTTTGTATACGGTTTCTGCAACGGTAATGCTTTAAAGGCGGTGCGAGAATATGCACGACGATTTCCAAACAGAAGAGTGCCAAACCGAAGAGTGTTTATGTTGACATTTAATAGATTGCGAGAGACTGGATCATTTTCAATTCGACAAGAAAACAACCGATTTCAAGCAGCGTTACGAAGAGATTTGCAGGCAGGGAATCGTATTTTACAACATTTTGACAATCATCCTGAGACCAGCGTTCGGAATGCGTCGGCTGTATTGGGAGTGTCACCACAAACAATTTGGCGAACTGTAAAAGGAGATAATCGCTATCCCTACCACATTCAAAAAGTGCAAAATTTATTACCTCAAGATCATTGGAACAGATTGAACTTTTGTAACTGGTACCTTCAGACATGCCACAATGATATTTTATTTCCATCTAAAATAATGTGGTCAGATGAGGCAACATTTACCAGAGGTGGAATAATTAATCAAAGGAATTATGGGCTCATCAAAATCCCAGGTCTGTTAGAGAATACAAATTTCAGCAAGAGTTTTCTGTTAATGTCTGGCTTGGAATTTGGAACGACGTTTTAGTGGGACCGTTTTTTTTACCTGCAAGATTAAATGGGGACCGTTTTCTAAATTTCTTGGAGAATGAATTTTCTGACTATTTAGAAAACATCCCATTACAACAACGTACTGAAATGTGGTTTCAATTAGATGGATGCCCTGCTCATTACAGCAGAGTCGCTAGAACCTGGTTAGATAGAAAATTCCCACAACGATGGATTGGACGTGGAGGAGCAGTACATTGGGCAACTCGTTCGCCCGACTTAACGCCATTAGATTTCTATGCATGGGGTACTCTGAAGCAAGAAGTTTATTCTTCGCCTATTCAATCAGAGCAACATTTGAGAAATCGTATCGTAGCTGCAGCGAACAGAATATCGCAAGAACAGTGCCTGGCTGCTACAAGAGCCGTGTTTGACAGATGCAATGCTTGTATTGCTGCAAGAGGTGCACATTTCGAACAAAATCTTCATTAAAAAGTTTATAAATAAAATAATTAAAATAATAAATTAAATATATTTTTTTCTTTTTTCGTGATTTCCTGCGAAACAAAGCAAAAAGGAGCATATGTCTATAGGACTTTTTTTCTTAGTTTTTTACTCCTCTACACGCTCCCGAAGTTTTGCCATTTAATTTGGAAACACCCTGTATATAGGACTGGTTGCTAGAATGTCAAAAAGTCAAGGCTTTTTCCAGCATTGTCGTCAACGTTTAAGCTTCCTACACACTGTTAAATCTATAGTGTCAAATTTAACTTAACGTGAGTCGCCACTGTTCCTACTCAATCATATTTTATATTAAAACAATAGTTATATTTGATACTATACAGTGTCAATTTGATATTATACAGTGTCAAATTGACACGATATAGTGTCAAATTTAACTATCGTTTTGGTAAAAAATAATGATATATTTTTAGTAGGAGCAGTGGCGACTCACTTTAAGTTAAATTTGTCACTATAGATTTAACAATGCATAGTTATATTTTGATGGTCTGCAAAATCATTTTCAGATCTGTATCTAGCTAGATTTTTAAATATTTCAGCAAAACCGTTTCTTTTTGTGAAAGATCTTAATTTGAAGAAAAAGAAACAAAATGAAATCTTCGAATTTATTAGGAAATTTTATCGTATCGATCTACCGATTTATTTTTTCGTAAAACTAGTAGCTTTTATAAACGTATACTTGCGCGGAAAGAACGGTTTTGTTGAAGTATCTAAAAATAGATACATAGTTTAACATAATTTTGTTGAATTATTAAAACAATTACGTAGAACAATCTGGTTGCCGAAATATCACATATTTTTGCAGCGTTATTCATCATATTTGAGTTTCCTACACCTGCACAGAAAAATATTATTCTTTTGCTAAAAAAAATAATTACTCAATTTACTTTCTTCTTTTTAGATAAGTAACGGTTATCTTTAATAAATAACATTGACATTAATCTTATTTGTAATAACATGCTTATTACAAAAATTCGTTATCATATACTTGAAATAAGAATTTATTTTCTTTTAAAAAATATTATAAAATTGATCGAAGAAGCGACTTTATATAGGAGAATAATCGAATTTGTTTTAATTTAATATAATTATTGTGTTGAAACATATGTTTTAATTTAATATGATAACTTGATTCAAGTATCAAACTACTAGATTTCAGAATATATTTTGAATAAACTTAATGCTTGTGATGAACTTATCATAGATTTGCAGATATATGAACTTTTGAAATACTTGAAACACTTGCATACAGTACATATTTTTCTGTGTGTAATTATTTTGATAGTTTAACAAAATTATTTTTATATCTATAACTAAATGTTTAGATATTTTAGTAAAATTGTTTTTCTTTTGCGAATGGCGTTACGGAATCAAATCTGGTTTTATATCAATATTGTCCCTTGATTCAAATTGATTCGCATTATTCTAAAGTAACGTTCTCACGATTCTTTCTGACGAGGCCTCTAAAACAAATAGGAAGTTATTTGCGCGAATGAAATCGCTTCGCTTCATCGATTTTGGGCAATTGTCATCGTTGCGAACTCCGAAGAACCGCTCCTGCTGATAATGAATACATTTGGACACGTTGAATCATCCAAGTCATATACAGAATGCGTCCATGCCATATAAATGAGAACGATTGGTGGCAGGGAGGTGAAATCGATTCGTCTTCAACGAAACGTCTTCCCTGACGGGAAGAGTGCAGGGCGAACTCGTTTCTAGACCGCTTGGATTTCAGCTTCGTCGAGTCAGGATACACCTGACCAACGAAAATTAGACGGTCCGTTCGAGTTATCTATCTTCATCATGCCTACGAATGATCTCGAGGTCAAAATGAGTCGAACGGATCGGACACACCTCTCGCAATTCTCGAGGAACATCCTGTATACCGGGTAGAAGTTGGGACGTGGGCGCATCCGCAAAATAAGCCCCTGGCTGCGTCGCCGTGAGAATGTCGGCGTCGCGACGCCGGCGCAGATTGCCGGATCGATCTCCGTGTTCGCTTTCCTTCGCGTCTCGAGTACGACAAGGCCGAAGTCGCGGAGTAACAAGCAAAACGAAGGAAGAGCGAGAAACGCGGGGGTGACGACGACGACGACGACGCAGGGCGACGTCGGTGCGCTGTCGCTCGTTCCCTCGCCGTCGTATACCATCCTTACGATGTGACGGATCACGAAAAGAGCTCTGTACCATCCTTTTCACGCGCCTCTTCCGACAAGAACACTTTCCTCGCATCGGTTAAAAATATATATTCGGGGTATGGCGACTTGAAACGACGGTAGGCGACCGTCAATCCCCGTGAGAAATCGATCGACGACCGGCCGTGTGACATTGGCCCGGAAGCATTCGTCATGGAGTACCGGTACGGCAGCACGAGGTGCGAAGACGACTCGCTGGAGAACGAAAAGGGCATCGGTGTTGCGGTAAGGGATGCTCCGAACAGAACGTTCTTCTCTTCGGATCCTCCTCTTCATGGAGAACCTGTTCGAGGGTGCCATGACAGTGCGCGTGTCAATCGGGTGGGATTATTTTCGATAACATCATCGGAGTGTCATTTATCGAGATTTCCTGAATAATAAGTTTTTACGTCGTTTAATCAGAGTCAGTATAGTTAAACCCAATTTTTATTTTGGGGGTTGAAAATGATCCTTGATATCGTTTGAAAATTAATAGATATGATTGGAGAAGTTCTGGATACATTTGATGCTTTCCGGCAAGCGACACAGTGTGACATACTGCCTGTCATCCCTAACGATCGCAAATTATGCGCGTCTGCTTTTAGTAAAATTAGAAAATAGATTGTGATCATATTATCTTTGTTTAACATTGGCAAACCACAAGGATAAATTTACTGCGTCTCTTGCTGAAAAGCACTCGTTATCTTTAACCCCGCAAACACAATAGAGTAGTAAGCCTTAAGGTATTGACCAAGTCGATTATTCTTCTCACATGCAACTGTGATTGATCCATTTTTTAAGGCTCAAAGTTTACTACTCAATTGTGTTGGTGGACTAACAATTTAGCTCGAATTTCGGTTGTACTGCTT